TTTTTTTCGATCCTGTTGATCCGCTGGAAAATAGGAACGGTGCAGTGTAAAATACTTCTTAATTCTTGTTCATTAGTATTCCAAACAAACGTCTTCTGGCTTCCTTTTTCTGTTGGATCACTTTCTTTGTTTGCTATAACTTGAAAGGCTTCATTGATTCTTTTACAATTTGAGCAGCTAATATAGAATACTATACTATGAATGTGCTACTTCAATGGTAAATAGAATGTGAAAGTCTGCATCTAAGAGTTTTCAAAAAATACGGGAAGTCCTCGCATTCGAACTGGCTTATTCACTTCGAATGTTGAACTCGCGACCAGTTTCGGTGCACTCAAATGTCGGTGTATTGGGCGCTTTCAGAGTACGCGTCAAGCGTCCTTGACGCAAGAGCGTCAGGCGTCGGTTCTGCGTTAGTGGCGCTTTACGATTAGTATAGACATGAGGGTAGATGATGTGATCAGCCAGAAAGTGGAAATAAAAACGACTGCCATCTGAATGCACACTCGGATCTCCACTCTCCTATCATGTCCAACTCTACTGATCTAAAACTGTTTCATGATTTCAAATTCAAGCTCTTAGTGTTAGAAAAGTGGGGCTTGATTTACTTAGTTGTTCTAGTTATTTACTAGATCGACGACATTTGGAGTTAAAGTGGCAATTATCACTCAATATCCATGCCCAGGTTCATAGGGCCCCAACATGGAGACGACGTTTGGGATCAGATCCGCCGGCTATGGCGGAATACTTCCTACGAGCAAGTTTGGGATTTTACAGTGGGAAATAGAAGGCGCAAGTGAGAGTGTTCCAGGTTGCCACGCACTACTACGGAACATGCATTCAAGTGGCTTTTTTTCGTTTTCCCTTTATTGGATTCAGCGCTTCTTCATTTTGTTAGTGTTCTATGAGAGGAAAAGAATATCTTGAGCTTCTGTTCGAGTATGACCAACTCTTCGTTGCTTCAAAGGCTGACCGGACAAATAAGGAAGTTTAAAGTTTCATTCTGAGCCTTTTTTTCTTGGTCTTTCCTGAGCCTCAACACTAGTTACCACGAAGCGGTCATTCCTCCCTCTCTACATCGATCTACCAAGGGTTGGCTTTTCCTGTCATTATGCTAACTAAACTGCTAAATTTTTCACTTTTTTTTAAAATTTCACATGCACGTTCCCTAGTTGTTTCAATATTTCGGCAATTTTATACTAATAAGTGTTAGGTTTACATATTGGTCCCACATATCTGTTTATCTATTCGACGTACGCCATTACCAACCTATTGATAAGCCTCGGGGGCGAGCGTAAAATCATGATTGAGCAAAGAGAGAAGCGAGACAAATCATGTTTTTCGGTGTCTTTTCTTTCTTCATTTCTTTTTTCTTACAACTTTTTATACAACAACTTGGACTTTCTTAAGTTCTCTAATTTTTATCGTACATAAGTGATATTGCAATACCGTGCAGCACCATATTAGTCATGCCTACAAGTTGTTCATCGTTATGACCTTTTAACGTCGGCCATATCGCCGTTTCCGATCCTTGGTGTTTCATTGAACCGAACGATGGCATTTATTCTAAAACCTGTTAGGGCGCATTCATACTACTTGCAGTTTTATGCAGACTATTGCGTTTCCTTCTCCAATGTTTGGGGAGGCGCAGCGCAGATGTGGCCATGGTCACGCCGTCACCGCAATGCACCACCTCGCCCGCTGCGGTAATCGATATTATGGATGCTCCTCTGTCTTGCCAGGATTCGACTACTTTTCCGAAGCTCCTTCGCTTTTATTTGTTGCTACTTTTACTGCTTGGTGTGTGGCTAATGAGTTTTTTTTCCCTTCTCAGCTTGATCAGATGGAATGTGCTGGGCTCCTTCTTTCTAATAACTTAAGCAACTACTTCATGGAAAACTTTTTAACTACACGCTAAGCGCTTAGTGTATAGTTGAGTGTTGCATCAGCGGTTAAATCGAATCTTACATACAATTTGAATAGTACTTTGAACGTCAATAATCCCGACATCACGCAAGAAAGTTCACGATATCGATTGCCGCGCCGCGCCTATCAGTGCGAGGCGAGACGCGAGGAAATTGACGTCGGTCGCGAACTCTGAATCAGCTGATGGCGAAAGACTGACAATGTTCTTTTTTTCATAGAATGAGTGGTGAGAGTCAGAGCCCTGCAAAATGTGTTGAGGATTCAGAAGCGACTCACTCACACAAGGGGAGCACATCTCCATTAGGTGAGTGTATGTTCGCATCTGATTGATGAACCAGTTCTGGATTTTGTAAACTGTATTTTTTTGCAGAAAAGAACGCTAACTTCTCTAACATGAACTCACGACGTCCTGGAGCACGACATTCTTCCCATTACGAACCGAATCTTAGTCAGTTAAAGACCGCTTTGGTTTTCATTAGCACCAAGCAGAATTAATTTTGAAGTTGCGGTTCTTTTTTGTGTGTTACGACACAAACGTGAGGGATTAAAGGAGGTTTGTTTCATAGAAATGACATGAGTTACACTAGAAATTTGGGTCGATTTACGATATTTCTGCAGTTAATTGCCTTGAATTAGCACAGGCAGTGGTCGCCACTACTTGTTCGGGAACTTTTGAAATTCGTTTTTTCTTCTAGATTGCTCGCACTATGCTTGTTATTATTCATTTATTCGGTTTCTGAATTGTTACTCGTAAGTACGCTTGGATTTACATTGGTTGGACGTTTTGTTGAAATTTGTTGTCTGAAAGTTTGTTGAAGCCGCAATTTGCTGAAGAGCTCGGCCCGGCGTCTGCTAAATAAGTTCTTCTTAGCCTAGCCTTTTCTTGAAGTCGAATATCCTCGAAGAATGAATGATACGCGTGAAAATGACTTAGTTAATGCTATCTGAAGATGACGGTATGGTTTAGGTAACGCTCACTGGTCAAGTACANAGATATACATATAAGTTCAAAATTTAAGATATCCAATCCTTATCTATTTCTAGAATCGATTTATCGTTGTTGCGACTTCACTCGACCCTATGCATCAAAAGAGGACACTATTGTTTATTTCAAAAGAGGTGAAGTAGGTCTTGCTCATGTCCACAAGGTAAGGACGCGCGGTCTACTCTTGTCCGTATGCTCTGTTCACAAAAGTTGTTCAGGTAGACCGAAAGGCACTTGATGTCTCATTGTACAAAGGGTTGATTTCCTGTCAAACACTCGAGCTTGAAACCATACCCTCGTGTCGGCGCATTAGGCGGCTTGTAGAAGAGGTAATTCACTTGAAGAGCGCAATTGTATCACAAAATTAGTCCTCAAGTACGGAGCTTTCTAAATTTTCGCGACTCTTTGCTTTACGTCCTGCAGACGAAAAACATCCCTACCTCAAAATCTGCGGACAATTACGTTAACTTAAACGATGTAAACATAACTAGATTGGTGATTATCGGTTTACTAGGATATCTCATCAAAAAGCAAAGTGAATCAGCGCTAAAGTAAATAGATATACAATCTAGCTGTCTGACTTCACTAAATTAGAACGAGCACACGGTTGGCACAAGGTTAGGGTTGAGTCCAAAAAGTCGCTCTCTATCTTTTTGTCAAATAATATTTCAAGATAATTCATCCTATCCTTACTTATATCACCATTTTAGGTGCTTGTTGTGGATAGGGGATTTTCTACTGGTGAAACTGTGATAAAATTTGAAAATAAACATATTGGAAACCCAGAAAAAGAGGATTTATGTGTGCCGCGTTCAGACGTCATTATTGGACAGGTTGTGAATGTTGAAGTAAGTTTTACAAAGCTCTCTGAATTGATTCTGGTGCAGTAGATTCCTCTCAAGTTAGGATCTTCCCTAACTAAGTGATAAACATGCTATTCTTCAACCACACTTCTTTATTACGTACGCACTTTAGGTCCGTGGTGACGTTTTGGTGGTTCCTTGTAAAAATCTCATAGTGAAGAATGTTTCTTTAGGAAACAATGAATATGTGAGTTATTTGTAGTTCATACAGCATTTATTTTGAATTGCACGGAGTATTTCAGACTGAAATGGTTAACTACAATTCCGCGCATAATTATATTATGTATAAGGACTGGATAGGAAATGCTAGTGACTGTATAAATGACGTTACATTGTTGTATCGCGGAAGGCATCGGTAATGTTCTTGCTTCGTTCCCATTTGAAACCTTTGATCTGATTACGGTTTGCAAGTTGAGTGCGAGTCATCAGCGATCTCATTACTCCAGTATGAATTATACATTGGTAATTTGGTGATAGAAATGCATTTTCATTATTTTTTTCAATTATGTTAGCTTAGAAGATCCTGAAATACAGTTGACGAGAACGTAATTTCTTCTATAGATTACGATTATCAATTATTATTCACGATTCAGGCCATTTTCACGCGTCGCTTTCTTCCTACGAGTTATCGTTTCAGTTTCGTCGTTAAAGAGGGTGGTCGTACAGGGGTCTTCCTTTGCCGCCAAGATCGTTCAGATGAATCAAAGGCTTTGGTGCCTGGTGAACGCGTGTCTATAGCCATCAGCGATGCTCTCGGTAATTGCTTTCATTGTTGCCTTCTTGACATACATTAGGAAAAGACCTTTCCATGTTAGCCATACATAATTTACATAATTTTTTTTATTATTTCACAGTTCATCGTTCTTGTTTTTTTGCTTTGCATTTTTTGTAGTCCTCAAAATTCTCATGTCCCTTGTCTTTTTTCAAGGGCGCTATTAATGTATATTCCTAGAAACACATCGTGAGCAAGTGGGGCAGCTCCGAAAATTATTGAGTTCGAAGGAGTCAGAAATTCTACATCATTTTGAGAAGTGTTTTTTTTTGTAATCGTTGTCTTGACCGATTCGCACTAGTAAAACTGCGCGAAGTGGTTCTCTTCAACCTCATTTAGTGGATATCATCGATGAATGTCATTGAGTTGTCTCATGGAAACTTCCTCGGATGTCTGAAAGTATTTATTTTCTTCTAGGTCGATCTGCTACCTGGGAACAAAAGCCACCAAGGACTCTCACTTGCGCGCGGAGGCGGCGAGCCACAGAAGGCATTAAATGTGTCATAGAGAAGGTACGGACCTTCCTCTGCGTTAAGCCTCATTCACAACTTTCCTGTTTACAGATTGAAACCAATTCTCTGTTGGTGGATTGGATCATGTCGCCTTCATCCACCACTAAACCACCGAAAGTAATTCCAAAAAGTGAGATTTCAAGGTGCGTGATAAGACATTCTTTTGTGGTAATATTTTTGTTATTTCAAATATCCTTCCTCAGGGTTTCACGAATTGATCCGTCTGCAAATCCACGGCCAAGTACATGTGATCGTGTGAAAATATTACCGGATGATCTATCTACGGCGAGTCTCCACATGGCCATTTTAACATGTATATGTTTATAAAACATTCGTGATCGGCTCGGATAAAGGCTTTTATAGGTCGTGACCGTCAAAGAATATTTTGCGGGTTTGCGAGACCAGTACGGAGGTTTCTTCAGGAAGGTTAGCTCTCTGGAATCCGATGTTATAAAACTCTGTGAACACGGGTTAGCTGATTCATGGTGCTGAAAGATGGTATGTCTTTTCAGTTGCTTGCCAAAGACGATGATTCGATTCCTCCTTCCTGTGAAAATTGTTCAATTCAAAATCAAAAAGAGCATGAGCAGAGATCACCGACAGCTAAGGTTAGTTTCTGCAAAATAAGTAATTATTGCAATCAGCTTCCATAATGCATGCTGTTTAATACCGGTTTTCCACTTCACCTTTTAGGGGAGGGGTTAAGGGTTCCTTTGAAGGTTTTATTCCACTAATTTTGCTTCACACTGATTTCCATCTTCATGAATTTGTATGTATTGCACAGCATGTGGGATGAGGCTCTCGTCATGTTTTGCGAACCGGTCCACATCCATGAGATTAGCTATGTATTATAATTCAGCATATATTCGATAAAAACCACTTTGAGACAACTTTAGTAGGGTTCCCAGGCTTGAAGTTGAGACTTAGCACGAGCTCGCAGAATATGGCGAGGGTAAGGGAGAAACCTTAATTAGTATAGAAATGGGTGCGTTAGGGTCAATAACGTCAACTTTTACCACTTAATTTGGGAGCGCTCTGTAAGGGAACGGCCCCTTCACCATTTGATCCAGGCTGCGAAAATTGCCCGCTTGAGTGATGATACTACACCACAACAGGGTAATGAGGGCGATTCTGTCTCAGCTCACAGTGTGGCCGAATGTGAAATGATGGTTAGTTTCTTGAATTTGTGCATTTCCAATGACCGAAACTAGCTCATTTTCATGTAGGAATCGAAGGAAGATGTTACCAATGATGAAGAAGCTTGGGAGTCATCTGAAGAAAGTAGTGATGAAGACGAGACTCCTTCAAAGTGTGGTAGATCGAGAGTGGCTGTATGTCGAAGCGTTGTTCGACAAAAGCGCATGTGAAAAATATTTTTTTACTCTTCAAACGGATCGAAGTTCTATGGTTTGCAAAGTTCTAGGCGTAAATGTCCAGCCCGTCGTCGAAGATGTACGCCAGCACTGCCTTCGGAGTCTCCTCGTTTGGCAAAGGATATACTAGGCAATCAATTCATAGGAGAGGTTAGCGTTTCTGAATTACCATGCTTCCTGTTGGCTTTTATGGAAAACATCTGTACTACGACCTTGCTTTTTGGTTCCTAATAGCCATCATTTTGAAGGTTCTTTTGTCACATACTCTAGTGGATGTACAGTGGATGAATGGGACAATTGAAGAGAAGATTCCCGGTTATCTGTTGATTCCACATGATCCTGATCTCGATCAACAGGACCACTTACCAGGGGTTATTGTGGCTCGCAAAGACGCTCAAAACGCAGGTGAGCATCCAGTTCAGAGCCCAGTAGAACCGAGTAGAGTCGTGTATTTCAGAGGCGGTGTTCGGTCTGATATTGTCCACAAACAGTGCGGAACGATCTTGTAAAGTCTCATGGTTTGAACGCAGAGAAAGCGAGGTAAGTCATTGCGAGCTCCTAGAAAAACGCTATTGTTGCCCAATGTTTTCTAGGTCAAAAATCTTGGTGAGGATGAATGCATACTTTTCGATATCATGGCGCATCCAAATTACAAGCGGTGAGTTTTCAGAAACAAAAAAGCTGAGAGAGTGAAATGGTAAAATCATTTTCATTCAAGTTTGTTCATCGGGAATTATGGAGTGAGCATTCATCATCCGTCCAATGATATGAGGGACATAGCATTCCAAGTGGTGGCTGATCTCAAAAATGGAAAGCAGGTTGATTTCTGTTGAGCAATCAAATGGGCTCATCATACCTAGCATTCTTTTTCGCATTGTTTTCAGCTTGTGCGATTTTTGAATGGGACTGAAGAAGAACTCTGGCCATTTGACATTTTACCGTTGGTTTTCATTGGCACTTATCATTGCTACGAATTCCGGCTAAGCATTTTTCCATTCAGTATTCATTTCGTTGATGAATCATTGGACAGTGACAGTGAGGATGATGATCTAAGTGTCACTGAAGGAGATCTGTCGAAAGATTCCGCTATGCTCTCTGTGTTCTTGTACGACAGGCTTGTTTAGCCTTCCAGGCAGTTCTCTCTTGTCCTTTCTCCATTCAGTGTTACAGAATGGAGGCCTCGAACATACTTCGTGGCCTAGGGCTTCATAGTTGCAAAGATCATCAGGTAGCAGACCAGAGTAAAATTCTCGATCTTGCAACTCGTTACGCCAAAACCTGTCCCGACCTGGAGCCCTTCCTCAAAGAATCCAAGTCCGGAGATTTGGAAGCCAGAAACACAAAGATTCTATTTGCAGAAGTTATGATGGAGGTACTTTTTCTCGCTGATTAGCGTTTTGATGATATTCGTCAATATATTAAGTTGATGCATGATTATTGCGGATTTTTTCCGGCAAATTTTACTTGAGGAAACGACAGAAATATTTAGCAAAGACATGTTCAAATAATTGCCCCGGAACATATCCACTATCTACGTCAAGCACTGCTTCCCATTTGTTAGGCAGCTGTTTTCCACAGGCGAAGAATTTTCGATTCTTGGAGGCGACCACGCCTTAACGTTGGCCAGCAAGCCATCCTCTTCGTCGAAAGTTCTGTCCGTTAACCAATTTTTCAACGGGCGATCAATGTGATAATCCATAGGAGTTTCTGTTGGTGAATAACGTAGAAGCGAATTCTATTCTTTATTCGGCTTTGGCTGACTGCTCCTTCACCGAGAAGTTCGTTGAGTTCACGTTATGAGTGTGCCGCCTCCCAACATTTCTCGAAGTACTAGAGCATAATTTGGCGTATTTGAAGATGACTTTCTAGACATACTTCTGTTAAGGGAAGCGAGAAGATCGTTTCTACAAAATCCAGATTTCAACAATTTAATTTTACCGAGAGAAGAAGCCGCGAAAAAATCCACAATAATTATGCATCAACCTAATATTTTTTTTCTTGGATAATCCGATCCCTAAACTACAATCAAATCACAGGCTACTAGTCAACAAAGCTCTGATTACGTTGAGCCGCTTATGCGATTTGCTGATATCATTATTGCCATCTATCGCTCTCGGGTTCTTCCAGATAACTTCGATATTCGTCTACTTTCTTCGTTTGTGAGTTCTTCTTACGTAAGTCCTGAGATAACGACGCGGCTAACCAGTCATTTTACTTAAGGTAGAGGACTACGAGCTAGGTAAAGCATTCACAGCAAATCTCCATCTACCTAGAGATGAAATGTTACCCTTTCTTCTGGAGGCGTGAGTTTACGAGTTTTTTTTTTCGTAAATAATGATGAGAAATGAGCTGTGGAAGTTACTGTTACCCAGTCTTATGCCCATGACATGCTTTGTCAGTGTGGGTAGGTACGATTGGCGAGTTGATACGTTGCTCGACGGTTTCATGCAGTTTCTTATTCATAATATATGTTTATATCAATCAAACACGGTGTTGCAGTTTTATCGGCCATCGTTTATACATTCAATGCAATAGCTGCTCAGTGTCAGTTACAAATTTCTTGGCTCCAGAAGGCATTTGCAACCTACTTGCCAAAATGCATGAACCCCGACAACCTTTACTCATTAAAGGCACAGTTCACGATAAAAATGGTTTCTGAGTTAACCCCTTAGGAAAAAAAGAAACCTCTTAGGAAAAAAACCCCCAGTGGCTCTAAGGGTAACAGGAAGGAGGCTGTCGAGTCCCAAACCTCAACACCTAGTGCATAGTGGAAAACCCGTTACCGGATCGACCGACTTCCCGCCCCTCGATCGATGTCACGTCAGACGATTGTCGAGGCGATACAGATTGCAATATTCGTTCTAGGGCCCACACACAGTCAGCTGGTCTCCGTGTGATGAGGTGATATTTTTCTTCCATTCTTTTATTTCCTGCTATTCTTTTTGCTGCTGCGATCCTTATTCTAACTTCCTGGGGGGCGCGCGATTCACGCGTGACCCCATTAGACTCTTCGCGCACGCAGAATGGTTTCAGTACCTTTCTCTTAAGATCAACCAAATAAATTTGCAGTAGTCCACGGCTTCACCATAAGTAGAGTAAATCTCTTTATTATGGCAAAAAAGCCCCTTCGAAATTGAGAATTCACCTCATAGGTCAACAGTTTACTTGTCAATCGTTCAAAATAAGAATACCTACAAATTTTTTGATCCTAGTTAACGCAATCCTTCTGTAAACGTGCATAGTTGGTCATTTCTTTACTTATTCTACTTATAACTTCTTATTTCTTCCGTTATGATGGTAGCCATGATGTTTTAGCGCTTTTTGTCCGATGACCTCATTATATTGGCGCGTGAATCGCACCACACCCTAACTTCCTATCTCAAGATTCGTAAAAAGGTGGGCTATTTTTGCTGATACTGGGGTTTTTTTGTTAACTTAGGCTTACTAGCTAATGAATTGCTTGCCGTAGTCAGCTATTCTCCCCAGTACCCACACGTACGCAACGACACACGTTGTGTAGCTCGTCCAAACGCCCCATCCTTCTTCATTTTTCTAGTCTCACTCTCGTCCGCCCTCTTTTTAAAGATTTTTCAAAGCCCTTTTCACTTTGGAAACCGATTCACGCAGTTTCTTCGCCTTCACTGCATATTTTACATCTTATCTTCCAATTATCGTCCTAACCTGGATTACCCAAAATTAACATGAACTGTGCCTTTAATCAGAATAAGTTTAAGTAGTTGTGCTTCGGATCTAGGCTATGTGCTGCATGCCTACATCCGGTACTCAAGACTTGCGTTTACGCCTTCATTTTTATTGGCAGTTGCTTACTGCATTTTTCATGTGAGTCTAAAACTCAATTGGGAGATAGATATTAGGATGTCCTCAAAGTTTTGATAGCATTGTCTCTCAAATGTGAATGCATGTGCTTCCGAACGCGCGAAAACATTAACATAGATTCGATATAACATTACCATAGAAGGAAATGTTGATAGACCAATACTAAGGCAGCTAGATAGTTGACGCTGTCGTAGGAAGTAAGCAATCATTGAATTATGTGCGTTCGACAAGATTACCGGAGCCTTCTGCTCCATCAGTACGAAAATGATGGCTTCGTCACTCAGGTTTCGGATGAGATACGGTGGCTGATAAAGTGCACTCCCCCCCCCCCCCCCCCCCCCCCCCNCCCCCCCCCCCCCCCCCCCACGTCATAAACGGCTCGATCGCTTCCTTTGAGAACCTTTGAGAAAAGATTTGCACGTCGACTGTCCTTGAATACCGACGCTGCTCTGGCCTCTCGTCAGAGCAATTCTCCTCAAAGTTTCAGGAATTGGGAAAGACGATCTCTACTCCCCCATCCATCTTCCTTCCTACACAAGAGCCACTTCCAAGGCAGGGCTCTCTACAAATAGCCCACCCTCCCTCACTGAGCAGGAACGTCGAGTGCGGGTCGATGTGTGTTAGAAGCGCTCGACTGCGGGCGAACGTTGACATCAACCCACTTTCTTTTGGCCCAGGGTGGAAAATAGATGTCAGATAAAGTTCCTCACCGGAAATCGCAATGCCTGCTAGCGGGATCAGGCCCGCAGTGCGACAAAGCGAGGCGCTTACGCCAAGAAGGACTTGATCTCATTCTTCCTCTGCTCGGCCCAGTGTTTTACTATGAGATCCTACCAAAATGTACTACGGTTAACGCAAGAGTTTCCTGTAAAACATTGAGAAAGATGGTGTTTCGAGCTCCCATTTCACACCGATTGGAAGAAGCTTTTTGATTAGGATGGATAATGTTCGACCACCCCACGCGAGGACGCCGATGGGGGAGCTGGAAGGGTTGGTATCACCTGGCTATCCTACTCCCCCACCTATTCATTTGACCTCAACCCTTATGGCTACCATACTCTCAGAAGCCCACAGGTTAGCTTAACCCATTGACGACCACGCGGCCCGCCGGCGGGCCACGCCACACCGTGCTCCTGTAGTATTTATACTATTTATCAAGTGTTCTTATAACTTTTTTCATGTTTTCAAGTATCATCTGAGCTCACAGACTTCTAGAGAATCTTGAGGCATCGTGGTCCAGGAATCATTCACTTCCAACTACAGTTATAAGAGAAAACAAAAGCCCATGTAAGGACAATATTGAAAAGCGCGGTCGTCAATGGGTTACTCATTACCAGAAATCGTTTCGGCGATTTTTTACGAGCTTTGCATTAGGAAATGCTAATGTCGACCGTCTTTTCAAAATATCNCGACCGTCTTTTCAACATATCTCATTTTTTAAAGTTGTTCAACGAACGAAAAATTCACCAAGGTAATGTGGTCCTTTGAAAAAAACACCTTTACAGTTGCGAATTTAGAAGATTTTCCAGGACTACGGTGTATGCAGTTTCACTTAGACCTGATGTAATGTTTTGAGAAGAAGAATTGAAAGAAAGTAGAAATTTAGATGAATAAAACAAGAAATACAACTGCAGTTCACATGTGGACTGCATGGTCGTCAATGGGTTAAAGGGAAAAATTCAACAATCGTCAGGTCAAGTATGTAGTAGATGAATGGGTTGAGCCACGCTCCTCTTCCTTCTGGAGGATGGCATCAGTGCCCTGTACGGAGAGACATTGTGGCTAATAATGACCACTGTCTTGATTAATGGCTTTACTTTGTTGTTATAGTTATTTTGTGTTGGAAAAACCGACTGAGTTTTCTCAAAATTTTTCGGATACCCCAATAGTTATAGAACAGCTGCTAAAATGAGCTCTCCTGATCTATTTTAATTTTATTTTAGAGAGTGCAGCGCTCGATCTCGACCAGAGTGGCTGTCTGTATTTCACTACGTTTCGGAATGTATTTGTAGTAATGATAAGGACGCAGTGCGATTACCTCTCCGTTCTCCACAGTATCAGCATAAACATGCTGCTGACTTTAGAGCCAGACATTTATCTTGGGAGTACGTGGATTCCATTGCCGAAGATGTTCGCATAGCTCACGAAGTTTGTGATCGTGTAAGTGCTACTTTGATTCTTTTTTAAAACTTTCTAAGAATAAGTTTCACCAGAAAGCATTACGTGTTGTAGATGACCGCTCAAAGGTCGTTTGCTAACTCTCATGGGCTT